GAGCACTCCGCTTCTCTAGCCAAAGTCAGCATCACACAACCTGGAGAGCAGAGCCTTAAGAACGAAAAGCACTTGCAAGCACAAAAGTGAAGAACTCTTGCAATAATATTTTGCCTGATAATTCTAAACGATGAAAAAATCTGAGGAAATACCAGGCAGAGGAATTAATCTCATTCATTATTTTGAAAGTTTGGAGATACAACTCAGGACTACTTTCTTTTTTACTGAAGTATACGTTTAAAATTATCTTACAAGAAGACCTTGTTAGATTTACCTATCCGCTAATTTTTAAATATTTGTGAAAGACTAATGAATATTTCTTCCCATTTCATCTTCAGTTCATGTTCTTAATGGTCATATTTCCAAGTCAAATGTGATGGTGTTTATGGAAAAAAAATCATATGCAGGTTTTGCTTCAGATTATGCAATTAACCCCAGGGACTGCTTATCACTACACAGGGTCAACACAGCCACGGGAATACAAGGTTCTTCATAAGTGGATTGCAAATGTTTGCATTTTAATAGACCACCCCACGCACTATACAATTCAATCGATCACTTACTGCAAACGGCTGCCCCCTAAAAGCAACTTCCACTTGCAATGATGTCTGTGTCTTACCAACATCTATCTCTAACCTCAAACATCTAGACTACCCAAGTGATCTTATGCAGACTAACCAGTTGTCAGGATAGGGTAAATTAAGTCAGTTCCCACCAACCTAAACTGAACCTAAGTCAATACAATTCAACTAAAAGATCTCAGAAGACCTATCAGAACCTCCATAGTTCAGATTCTTAATTTAAAACTAAACAGGAGAGAGAGAGAGAGAGAGAGAGAGAGAGGGGGAGAGAGAGAGAGAGAGAGAGAGAGAGAGAGGGGCAAGAACAAGTTCTGAAGTCTCTGGTTTCTAGTATGGAAATTAATAAGATGAGTTCTATGCAAAATAAAACACTGTGTGGGAAAGATATTCAAAAGGCAGCATATGACAGTAACTTGTGATTTGGAGGAAAGATTCCAACATCCCTCTGCAAACAAATCCAAGTCTTGAGTATTAACGGGAAAGCAGCAAGAGGTAAGGACCAGCATCTACCTCTTGCACAGTGAGATCAGCTCATTTCTCATGGTGAGTGAGGTCATCTTCAATTCTAATAATGAAAAGGTGATGGAAATGGAAAAGTACAGTTAGGTCATCGTAGCCCTCCCCCCAGTCCTCCTCCTTCCATCACCTCCAACCAACTCGGAATAGATTTACTAAGCTGTGTTCTTTACTCTTACCTTTTAATTGTTCAGATTGAAAAAGAAAAATCAAGTAGCAGAACTTCAATTCCTTTCCTTGAAGGGATGCGATACCATTTGAAAGTTAATGAAACTGCTGAAGTAACCTCTGTCAGATCCTTCCTCAGAGATGCCAAGTTTTTAAACACGACAGTTAGGAAGGTCCAGGGCAAATAGTGAGAAGACATTTTACCAAGATTCCTCTTTAGTGCAAAGGCAACGTCTCCTAATGTGGCCTTCCACAGACAGGTTAACATAGTGGAAAGTGAGAGAAAGGCTTTGATGATCATACACACACTATTAACCTAGCGATATAATAAGAACAGGTGATACAGCATCAATACTTGAACTGACTTCCAAAAGTGTACCTAGTTTGTTTACTATATGTCCAGTATCCTAACTCACTCCTTCAACAAACTAATTAGTCACATTAATTTACCTTATGTCAGGAAAGATGCAATTTCATATAAATCCCCACATGGAACACTGAAAAGTCAGGACCATCCTGAATCTATGAAGTAGGCAAATCTGTTCCAGTACTTCCTTTTTATGATCAGATGATTATTAATTACTTTTCTTATTCAGGTTAACTCAGCTTTCTGATTGTAGTTGGTTATTTTACCATAAATTTAGGTATAAAGTAGTCATTTTCCCCACTGCACTGTAGCTGCAAAACCTATATAAATACAAGCAGACACAGAACCAAAGGGCAAGGATGTATGGGGCAAAAGTAGGAGAAGAATATATTTATTTCCTAGTGAATACAAAAAAGTTCCAGGGAGCTCAAGGCAAAAGTCAACAGTGAATCTTTATAAGCTATAATGTACATGCTGAGCTGTAGCATGACTATGCAAAACGTATATTTGCTTTTCAATGGTACATGTTGTAGTTTTGCTTTTCAATGGTACAGGTTGTAGCCATGTCATGCTTTCTGACCAGTTTTCCAGAAATGTGAGGCCTACCCAGAGATACAAAAGTCCCAAGTACCTCTGAATTTAGATTTTGTAAACACTCCTTTCACTAGACTGACTAAAAATCTTTTTTTTATTGAAGATAAGATGATTGCCTTGGGAAATTCCCAAGTTCAGTTTTGATTAAGGTTAGTCATAGAAGAATGTGCCCAACCCATTCTTTGCATTAAATTCTTAGGATGCTGTCAGGAAATCATTAAACCTTTCCACATAGAAATAAGCTCCCTTCTAAAGCTGAAGTGTAAGCACACGTTTGCATCAACACACTTCTTGATAACAGAGCATGAAAGCAGAGGAGTCTAGCATATGCTCACAGTGACCTCATGAGAAGCTGGATTTAGAAAATACGAAAGAAATAAAACTCCACATGTATTTATTTAGGCTCTTCTTCCTGTTAGATGTGCAATGATGTGTTAGTGATGCAAAGTCAAGGCGTATGAGCAATCCCCATGTCATCACATACGGAGTTGCTCCAGCACATGTATCACCTGGGCAAAGCACTCAGTGACTGCTGCTGGGACAAGTGGTGCAACTTCATGTCTTTTCTAACAGCCTGGTTGCAGCCAAAGGGCTGGAAACAGTTCTGGAAAGACCAAGGCCTGTTGTTAGAGTATTTGCAGAAGCTGACAGAAAATTTTGGGAGCGTGCTACACAATACAGCAACAGAGTTTGGAGAAGATTTTAACGGGATCTTATATTAAAGCAGCTCCTGAGAAGGTACTGCCCACTGGGCAAGCTATAGTTTGATAGGAAAAGTTATTTCACATACAATAGAGGAAACATAAGCAGAGGTGAGAAATAAGTCAAAAAAGCTGCTCAGATCTGCAAGACACGTTGGGATAATAATCTTAGTGGTATAATATTTGGTGACATTTAGGAGTCAGAAAGCTTGGAAAGTAAGGGCCATGATGAGAGCCAGGCCCATGGCGTGGGCAGACACTCTGTAAACTTCCCCGGGCAGCTCTGCCAACCAGCTCGCTCCTAGCGCACAACGCCCATAACGATCCCATTTTGGCCATCTTTTCAGCAGCACTGAGGGCCACGCTTTTTGAAAAGGGTCTAATTTTGTGCCCATGAGTTTCCCACCTAGCCAGCTGACTCAGTGTGTGGCCTCTGCAAATCACGTATAATCCCGCTACTTTTTGAGTAGCAGGGATCAAAATTAAATAGAGGCACAATGGTAGTTCCAATTTCAACGGTGAAAGGCTTTCAAATATTCTCAGTTAAATAATACAAAATAAAATGTTTCCTTCTACCTCCTAATCTTGTGAATTTCCCCAGGGATGTGGAAACCAAGCTTTCTTTTTGCCAGTTCGTGGATTAGCACTAGTTTATGAAATAGTGCTGCAATCTGAACAGAATATTTTCTCTCCCTGTGTTTTGAGCTAGATCGAAATCTAACTCAGCCTCCAGGAATTGTGCAGCATTAGCAGGAGGAAAGCATAGCAGAAACAGAAAAGAAAGATGATACAACTCAAAGACACAAGGGAAACATTACGTACCGTTTTGTAAGTATTTTTCTGACTGTGCCATTAATACCTCTGTGTCATAGCTTATTCATCTATAAAAAATTAATACTACAGAATCTGAAGAGACTTAATTAATTTACTATTTGCAAAGCTCTTGAAGGCATTCCACTGAGTAGCAACGTATGTGCAAGCTGGTGGTGTAACTCTTACTCAGAGAACGAGACTTTGAAAGTGTCCCCTTGGCAAAAAGCCAAAACAAGGGCAAACGATCACCAGAAGAGTTTTTCTCTTTAATTACATAAAGGTAAATTTCAGCTGTGGGAGACTGAAATGAACCTTTGCTCCTAGCCCTAAAACTCAGGTAATTCAGAGGTGTGTTACTGTGACTGGCACGTAGAAGAATCCCTCACTGTTCATACAGTTCTTTTCACTCTTCTGTTTTCCAGAGGAGGACTATTTGCTAGCCCGCTCATTTTGATTCAGTCAGGGAATACTGCCTGGCGTGTTGGGTAAGGGGAATTCTATTTCCTACCCACCTGCTCCTGAAGGGAACAAGAGCTCTATGGCACTTGCTCTCCCTGTCATATCACAGCAGTAATGTGAGAGGGCTTGGGGCTGTCACAAAGACAGCATCTGTGGGTGGCCACATCAGAAGGCTCAACAACCTGGTCTTCATAAATAAGGCACTTGCCTGATCAGTCAGGCATATTCTGATATGAAATACTGATATTTCAGATTTTTCAATCTACAAATATTATAAACACAACAGCTTTTTTAGAGCTTCAGTTTTTATTATTTATAAGATAATACTCATAGGAAAGTACTCATAAAATGATACTTATAATTCAGTGCAGCATCTACAAGCAGCTTAATCTGTCAGTACCTGCTCCTACCAGTTAAATTCCTTTCACTTTCTTTAATCCACACCTTGTCAACTTTATGATATTTCATGTTTGTATGGACAAAAGATTTTGGCTGCTTGAAACTGGCAAAACATCATTTACATTTCAGCTTTGTCAAAATGGCAAGACCAAATGCAAAAGCCAGATTGGAGGAATTTATGAAAAACTCATGTTGTTATTAATAGTCATATGTCAGCCCAAAAGGCAAAAGAACTAAACACGAGACAGAGGTAGAGTTCAACATTATGAACAGAGCAGCTTCCTCCTACAGGAACAATTCAGGTTAATGCTGAAGACTTATTTCAGAAATCTCATTCACAGAAATTAACAAATAGACAATGAACCTTTAGTAAAAATATATCATAATGTTAGCTGTACTCACTTCCTTGATCCACAGCAATTTAGGTGGCTGCATTTCCACAGACATTGTTCCCCCAACATAGCTCAAAACCTTGTGCTGTGTTTGATTGATCCGCTCCACCTGACTGACTGCACGATGGTCCATCCACATAATAACATTCCTATGGTTTTGTCCTTGACACAAAAAAAAAAGTTATTTTAGTTCTGCTTTAACTCTCTCTTAGTACTGCAAGTTGCTAGGCTCTAAGCAGCTTCACACTTCCATTAAAAACTCAAATAGAATTTTCTTCAATAAAGCACAGTAGACAGATAGACAAAGATAACATCCTGGCCAGTTTTAAGAGATGCTGGGCATGGAGCACCCCATGAGTGCGTGGGCACTCATGAGTGCCCAAGAACTTGATAAACCATACTCTTGTACAGCATGTTTCATTCAAAGCCAAGACTTTTGTTCAAGTAAATATATCTATTTTAAAATATATAAGAATCCTGTAAACACTTTGGTAATTATGAGAATTAAAAGCATAACAAAATCCAAGCATTTAATTATAAATTGAAACAAGCTCAATCAATCATTTTTATGGGAAGAACCATTCTAAATGCTTTCAGAAATACAATTTCATAGGGTAGTTTCTTGAAATGCTTTCATTTCGGAGGTGAAAGACAACAGCTTTGGCAAGTGTGCATAATACATCAGAAGAAGAAGAAAAGACTGTTTTATCTAGGTTTACCCCCAAAAGTCTTTCCAGGCAGGTGGAACAGTAATTCAGGAAACACTCCAGAGTCCTGTCTTGCTGAGTGCACAGCAAACTCAACCCCACAGCACAGTCACACTCATTATGAAGACAAGCCACAACCATGAGGAACACAAATATAACCAACATGGATTCAAATATAACCTCAAACTGTATGACTGCCTGAAACCAGACAAATACATGCCCATATCAGTGATACAGTATTCAACGTGTTCCTGGCTTTTTATTTATCATTTAACAACAATGTTGTATATTCTTCTTTTTTCTTTTCGCACATTTCCATTCTTTGCGATATCAGAGAATAGGAAATGAAAACTGAATTTGACTCAATCAACCAAAATAACCCCAGATATTGTAAGACATCGAACAGATAATCAGAGTATCTGATACTGAAAAATAGATATATTTATCTTGTCTAAATTTAGCAAAGAACATTCTGGGGGCAAAGTTTTGGGGGTTTGTTTGTTTTTTTTAAGTCTGATAGGAGATGACAAATGTATCCGAGTACAGAAAGGGAATATCAACACAACAGAATTATGATTATGGCTATATAAGTACTGATCGAGTACAAAGTTCTTCCTAGGTGGAATTCTCTGAAAAAAGATATATAACTCAAATTTTTCTTGAGTCTTCTGAATTATTTACATAAAAATAATTAAAACTTGAATATTGCAAAAACAGCCTGGTCTTTCAGCCTGGTCTTCTTCTAAAGTTTAGCTCTCCTAGACAAAGACAGGACACCAGTGTAATAAGATACATAAGCTGAACTTCTTGCCTGCAACTCCACAAAAACGTAAGCAGTTAAACTACACTAACACTAAATTTTTAACATTCCTTTAGCCAGTATGGATGGGCATTTACACACACAATAAAAGCAGTGATTAGTAAAGTCTGAGGGAGGAGAAAACACATAGAAAAGAAAAATGAGCATAGATTTTCTTTTAACTACCAGTCTGTCATGGGACGATAAATGACTTTGATCTTAGGATGTCAAATATTTAGCCAAGCAGTAAATGATTCCCATCTTAAAATTTCTTTTGCAGCAAAATTAAAAAATGAAAAAAAAAAAATCTGTTCTTAACAAAAAATAGTTTCTGTCACCTTTATCTTCAAGATGCAACGCCATAACTTGGCATTGGTGGTGAAATTTTAAGTTCACTCATGTCAGTGGCAAAACATGCTCAGTAACATTAATTATTGTGTTGGAGTCCTACCTTCGCAGTTGACTGCCAAGGGTTGGAAGTGCTTATCCACAACAACGAGGGAGCACGTAGCATCGAAACCAAGCCCTCGAATGCGCCTGGCATCTACTCCACAGACAACTTTCTGTGAACACATTCAAAACACACTTGGATATAAATATATCCATAGATATGCAGGTCATGTGAACTAATGAGAAAAGAGAATGGGTCTAAGTTAGAATTGCAAACACAAACTCCAAACTTCCTGAGATCCAGTATACTCAAAAAAACTCAGTCTGCATGTTAATCAAAAATCAAACCAAATTACCCTAATTCTTTGGTTTTCAAAACTGTATTCAAAGCTCCATGAAAAGTTCTTTAATAGCTTTTTTTGTCTGATTAGCCACAGCTCTGGATAAAAAGCATGAAGTACAAGTACTGTACAATAAACATTGCTAATTTTCTGCTACCTTTATTTTCTTCATTTTCTAAAAGCTCTGAGCTGAGATGGATGTGAAACACGGACACGGGTTTAAGGCCAAGTGTTTCCTTGGGTTATTTCATGCAATCCGTGCACAGTATTAAAGCACTTATCTTGTGGAATTGCTTTGGCAAAATCATTCCACTGGTTTATTTTGTCTTGCGACAGTGAAAGGTTGCAGAAAATAAATTTCTATAAAATTTATACCTGCTACAGGTTCTGTAGCAGCAGCATTATCTCTGCAATACACACATTTCTAAAAACTCTGCTATCAAGAGTTCGGAGAAGATGCTTTTAGAAAATATTAAAAGGAAAATCGCCTGTCCAAAAGCTCTGGACTTTGTGTCTTCCAGAAGCACTGAAAGAAAAAAGCACTGCACTCACATAAATTTAGGGCCAACTCGGGTTGTGAAACACCTAAGGAGAAATGCAGTGATAAATTGCTACTTCTCAGCAACAATAAGATTATCATTATTTTAATTAGACTTGCCACGATGCCAGCCTCTTACAGGCTCTTTAAAGCTTTAGTTCCAGAGACCGTAGCTTACTGCTTAAATGAAAAAGGCTACATTTAAAGAGACCCAGAACAAGAACAATTCTCAAAGAGAAAAATTAAATAAACAGAATAAAAGACTGGCTCTGCTTTAATACCTAGCTTCCTTATCATCCCTTTCACTCCCCTCTTTTCCTTCCCTCCCCCTCACCTCTTGTCTCCTTCATCTCAGGGCACTTTTTGCAGAGCCAAGCTCATTAATGTTTGAAAAGGCTGATCAATAACGAGAGAATGGGTGAACTGTCCATCTGTAAATTACCAGGCATCTCATGAATATTTAAAGAACCAACCTGGGAACATGGAGCGGACTGTGGCTTTATTACGAAGGATGAAACGGCCTCCATGTACACTGCCAACCAAGATCACTAATTTACTTTTACCACCAGGATCTGCAGGTAGATCTTTGTACCAAGGGGTACAAAAAGACAGATTTTCCCTCATAGTAAGGTTTATTTCAACCTATTTTTATGCTTGATACTACCCACAGATATATGCAATTGATTTTGATCTTATAACACTGGGCAGGCAACTTAAGGAGGACCACAAGTGGCCTTATATGAGACACCATCCTCAAAACAGACTACGATCTGTCTAAAATAGATCCTACTTTTTGACTCCACAGCAATAGCTTCTTTCACAGCTTGGGGCATCCTGCAACCCCTCTGGTCTTCATCTCCTTACCAAAAAAACAGACATTGATAGCCTGTATCAACCATTTTCCAAAAGTGTCGTTAAGGCACAAGGATATACCATGAACAGAAGCAAATGGAAGTCATCGTCCAGTGACTGGAAGATTTAAACCTTTCAAAACTTAAAGTGCTGCCTGTGACACCCTTCCTTGGTGCTCTGTGTTTTCACATACCTTTGTGACTGAGCAACAAGCAGCCCATATGTCAGAAGAAGATTGTTCATAGTGATCTGTTTGGGGTTCCCAAATTTGGATTGGCTGATCTGCATGTGCCACTACTGTCCCAAATTCATCTACCAAAGCCGCACGAACACTTGCCGATCCAACATCAATTCCAACATAGTAATTTACTGGAACCTGCTTCTCTCTGTGCATTTTTACTAAAATCTGTAGGGAAAAAAGAGAGGGAGGAAATAGCTGCTTTAAAAACACACAGATAAAATGATTGATGATGATGAAAAGTGCTGAAGAGGACAATGCAGATACTGTTTAGGCACTTTGCTTGATAACTTTTGCTGAAAGTCTTCACACAACATTTGAAATTCATCTGCCTTTCCAAGTCTTGCACTAGTTGTGCTGTTTTTTTGTCAAACTTTTGCATTTAAGTGGCACAGAAGTTCCTGAAAAGCAAACTGTGAATTTGCATATAATACACATGCTATAAAACTCATGCAATCAGTGAAGGCACTCAGCAGTGGTCACACAGTTTCATGTCTGAACAAAGCGAAAAAGAGGGAGGGAGAAATGAAAGCATATAGTTCCAAAAGCAACAGGAACTGGGAGCTGGCATCTTGCAGGGAAGAGAAAGCCCAATCCAGAGACTCCTGGGTTTTCCTGACTTTTGGCAGGTGCAGGAGCTGCTGATCCCTGGCAAGCTGGATTCACCTCTGGACAAAACAGCAGCAGCTCCTGCTCAGGAAGCAAGTAGCTTCAGCACCAGAGATGCCATTGCCACAGCACAAAGAAATTCAACTCTTGAAGTAGCGAGGAGTGAGACATGCCTGGCTTGCTGAACCCCAAACTCAATACGAATGAAGAGCCAAGAGCTGATGCCTCTCACAGAGCCAACAGCTAATAAGTGGCATCTTACTTGCATATGATGCAGTCAGTCAGGCTGGATTTCTGCAGAAGTTTGCAGATATCCTCTCCCCCTAAGGAGTTGCATGATACTGATAATTAAAATAACTAAGTGACCATTCAGCATAGACCACTTATTACCCAATTTTGAGCCTTGCAAATTAAA